GCTCAGGCAATCCACTCACCTCAGCCTCCCAAAGGTGCGGGATTACAGGCTGAGCCACCGAGCCCGGCTTCGTGTCCTTTTCTTAAATCATAACCCCACGACAATTCCTTTAAGGGAGACTTCGTCTCCCTTTATCAGGAGTAATAGCCTGCATGGGGTCTAAATCACTAATAATACCATTATCCTTAAAAATTCAATAAATTGAAGAGAGAGTTTAGTCAACTAAAGTGTTCCTAAAGAGCGATCTCCTGGGAATAGCCCAACCTAACCCAAGTTAATCGACTGCAAGAATTCCCAACCTTTTAAGTATGGTAACAGGGTCATTTTTCAACATTTTCTCTCTGCTCGGCCATCTGCTTCAGAAATTAAAGTCACAGCCCCTTCCCAATTCCGAGCCCCTCGCTAGGGGCTACCTTGAGAAACGGGAGCGGCGGCACTAGTCTGGTAAATGAATGAAGCCCCCACAACAACAAGAAACTGAGGTTGCCAGCCATGGGTCCCTTCTTCCAGGTCCATCCTCGCAGAAGGCACACATCCTTTGCCCAAACCCAGCAGGACGCCCCACTCCCCAAACACAATCAAGGCCTAGAAAGGACTCTTTCCTTCCCCTTTTTCGGAAGCCCCTTCCCACCTCTACCTCGGCTCAGGCCTTCGCTTTCCTTTCTGCACTAGCCCCCAACCCTGCGTCCACAGACCGCTTCCTCCCCAAGTCCCACCGCCGGAGCAGCCCCGTCCTCTCCCCTCTCCTGAATGGGCGGAAAGCTCACCTGCTCGATGGCCAGCTGCACCTCAGGCGTGAGCTGCAGCACGGCTTCCAGCTCCTCTACGAACTCCAGTTCCTCCTCCTCCATCATCCCAGGCCCTGCCGACCCCCTCCCCAAGCCCCACTCAGCCCTCCAGCCGCCACCCAGGCCGCAGCCCAACAACCCCGCGGTAGCAGCGATCAGGCAAGCCCCGAGTCGGTCAGCCGCCCCGGCACTTCCGGGAAGCCAGGCACTTCCGGGATCCGGAGCACTCTGGGATAGCGGAGGACTGACCTCGGCCGGCGTTCCTGTCAAGTCCCGGGAGTCTCCCGGGCAGCCCTTTATCCCGGCGACCCGGCCTGCCCTCAGGTCGTCCTTAAGATGCTGGGAGCCTTCTTGACCTCACCTAAGACGCGCCCCCCATGAGAACCCCGATTTTAGGGGAGGGCCTGGCCTCCCCGGCAGAATGCTCCAGTGAGTTGTCAGCCCCAGCAGCGTCGCGATCAACCTACCGCGACCTCCGCTGGCAGCGAAACCCGCGATTCTTCAGCTCCTGGGCCCACTGGGTCAGTGGTAGTAGGCGTCCTCCTGCCATCGGTGGTGACATGACCCCAGCTGGTAAGTGGCGTTGTTGCCAAGGACATCTGTAAAATGGAACATTGTCCATTTGATTGAAATAAATTTCTAGTGTGCCCGGCCACTAGGCAGAGTTTTCTGGGAGTAACTGCGGGTCCCTTATTGGGAGAAAATAAAAGAAAAAGCTAGATTAGGCAGTGCCCTAGTACTGGGGCAATGTTTACTTTCTGAGACCCTGAGTACCAGGGACGTAAGTCCCATTCCACCACTGATAGGCTATGTGATCTAGAACAAGTCACTCCAACTGCCCTGCTTACCCTGCATGGAGGTGGTGAGGATTAAATATTAAAAGTGCTCTGCAAATTCGGGTGAGTAGTACAGAAAATATGAGGGTGTCTAGCATACCCTATGCACTCCAAGGGAAAAAGAAGTCAGATCACCCTGTGGTACCACTTTTCCTGCAGACACTTAAAAACAATGAGGGAACTGCAGCCAAAAGAAAAGTTGCTTTACCACCTGAACTGTGAAGCTTCCTGAGGGAAGGGTCCTCGGCACCACTGAGCTTTTTTCTTGCTTTTTACTTTAATCAAAATTGCTTATAGTGAGAAAAAAATAGAAGCAATATAATTTTCTTTTTCTTTTATTTTTAATTGATGAATTAATTGTATAAACAATATAATTTCTAACAATGAGGGGACGCTTGTAAATACAGATTAGAGGCCGGACGTGGTGGCTCAAGCCTGTAATCCCAGCACTTTGGGAGGCCTAGGTGAGGAGATTGCCTGAGTCCAGGGATTTGAGACCAGCCTGGGCAACTTGGTGAGACCTCGTCACTACAATAAATAAAAAAATTTGCCAGGCATGGTGGTGCACATCTGTAGTTCCAGCTACTTGGATGCCTGGGGCGGAAGGATCACCTGAGCCCAGCAGGTCAAGGCTGTGGTGACCATGAGGGTGCCATTGCATTCCAGCCTGGGCGACTCCAACTCAAAAAAAAAAAGATGGAGAAGAAAGAACTATAGATCAGGCCTGGAGCAGTAGCATGCACCTGCAGCTCCAGCTACTAGGCAGGCTGAGACAGGAGGATCAGTTGAGTCCAGGAGTTTGAGGCTGCAGTGCGTCATGATTGGGTCACTGTGCTCCAGCCTGAGTGACAGAGTGAGACCCTGTCTCTAAAAAAAAATAAATAAAAAATATAAATCCACTGTACAATAGAATATTATTGACTCATAAGATCATGGTTTTGAAAATTAATGACAGCCAGGCTTGGTGGCTCAGCCCGTAATCCCGCACTTCGGAAGACTGAGGTGAGTGGATTGCCTGAGCCCGCGGGTTCGAGACCCACCTGGGCAACTTGGCGAAACCTCATCTCTACAATAAATCAGAAAATTAGCTGGGCGTGGTAGCGCGCGCCTGTAGTTCCAGCTACTTGGAAAGCTGAGGCGGAAGGATCGCTGGAGCCCAGCAGGTCGAGGCTGCGGTGGCCGGGGGCGGCCACGGCACTCCAGTCTGAGCGACAGAGTGAGACTCCAACTCAAAAAAAAAGGGAAAATTAATGACATGGAAAAATGTGTGCAATATATTTCAGAAAGCAAAATGTATAATACATTTCAGAAAACAAAAATGTACAGCATATAAGCTGAGCACAGTGGCTCATGACTGTAATCCTAGCACTTTGGGAAATCAAGGCAGGAGGATTTTTGAGCCCAGGAGTTCGAGAGCAGCCTGGGCAATACAGCCCTTGTCTCTACAAAAAATCAGAAAATTAAAGCCGCCAATGAATCTACTTACCTGAATGTGTTTCTGCAGAAACTCTTAAAAAGCTGGCAATAATAAAGCAATGCTAAAAGCCTTAAGGGCTTTGAAGTCGTTAAGGTCCCTGAAAATGGCTATAATAAGTTTTAACAATGAGAAGTATTTTCTTAAAGCATAGATAATTATTAAAACTTCACTATATACTAAGAACTTTGTGAAATGTCTAAGTGTTAATAAACAATTGCATGTGATTTTGTTTTAAGAAAAAAAAATAAGCCAGGTATGGTGGTACATACCTATAAGTCCCAGCTACTCAAGAGGCTGAGGTGAGAGGATTGACTGAGCCCAGGAGGTCGAGGCTGCAGAGCCATGACCATGCCACTGCACTCCAGCCTGGGTGACAGAGTGAAACCTCGACTCAAAAAAAAAAAAATGTACAGCATGGTCCCAGTTTGTGTGTATGTGTATTTTGTGCCAATAAAACTAATAACAAGGAAATATTACTTTTCTGCAGGTGATGGAATATACATTCTTATACATTTTACCAAGTGTCTACAATGAGCCTATAGTACTTTTATAATCAGAAAATATAAATGCCCTTTTTAAAAAGGAAAAGGTAATCATATCTACCTGTCTTGGACATTTTTTGCATTTTAAAAATTAAGATAGGCTGGGCGCAGTAGCTCAAGCCTGTAATCCCAGCACTTTGGGAGGCCGAGGTGAGGGAATTGCCTGAGCCCACGGGTTTGAGAACAGCCTGGGCAACTTGGCAAGACCTTATCTCTACAATAAATCAAAAAATTAGCATGGTAGCATGCACCTATAGTTCCAGCTACTTGAATGGCTGAGGCAAAAGGATCGCCTGAAGCCCAGCAGTCGGCACTGGGGTGACCGTGACTGCACTCCAACCTAAGCGATGGAGTGAGACTCCAACTCAAAAAAAAAAAAATTAAGATATAATTTAAACACAGTAAAATTTACAATGTGTGTTTTGACACATGCATATATAAGGAGGGACCCCAAAAAACAGAATTTTTAAAATAAAAAATTGTGTATTTATTCTTAATGTTTAAATTTCAGTTACCTTCAAAGCACTCTTTGTTTGATACAATACACCCATCGAGATGCTTTTTCCACTGCTCAAAACAGTTTTTGAACTTAACAATTTTGACACCTTTTAGTATTCTGCCATTTTTTGTTTCACCTCTTCCACATCCACAAAACATTTCACTTTGAGGATTTTTTTTCATCAGGGAAACAAACAAAAAAAGTTGCTGGAACAAGATTAGATGAATAGGGAGGGTGGGACACAGGGGTCATATCATTTTTGATCAAAAACTGCTAAACACTCAGTGTAATGTGGGCAGGTATGCTTGTATAAGACCTGATAATTAGTTCGCAAACTTGCCACTGTGCACTTACATTGGCCACACTGTACAAACAACTCAGTAAGGTTTCATAACCGTGGTATGTTAGTGTCTCACAACTGTTTTGTGTCGTTTAAGTGACCGTGTCTTGCTAAATGGCATTCATTATTGTTGTTGCATGCTTTTGTGAACTATTGCAAGAAAACCAGAGCTGGAACTAGAGCAACGAACAAACATTAAATTTCTTGTTAAACTTGATAAGAGTGGAAGTGAAATCAGGGACATATGAGTTCAAGTTTATGGAGATAATGCCATGAAGAAAATGGCAGTGTACAAATGGATTAAATGTTTTTCTAAAAGGAGAGAAAGCATCACTGATGAAGAGAGGTCAGGACAGCTAGTAACGAGCAGAACTGACAAAAAAGTTGCAAAAATTTGTTGAATTTTGCGTCAAAATCATCAGCTGACTGTGAGAAGCATAGCAGACCAAATCAACATTGACAGAGAAACAGGAAAATCTTAACTGAAAATCTTGGCATGAGAAAGGTGTGTGCAAAAAATTAGCCAGGTGTGGTGGCACACACCTATAGTCCCAGCTACTTGGGGGGCTGAAGTGAAAGTATCACCTGAACCCAGCAGGTTGAGGCTGCGGTGGCCATGAGCATGCCACTGCTCTTCAGCCTGGGTGACAGAGCGAGACTCTGACTCAAAAAAAAAAAGAAAGAGGCCAGGCTCAGCGGCTCAGCCTGTAATCCCAGCACTTTGGGAGGCAGAGGTGAGTGGATTGCCTGAGGCTACAGGCTTGAGACCTGCCCGGACAACCTGGTGAAACCTCATCTCTACAATAAGTCAAAAATTAGCTGGGCATGGTAGCACATACCTGTAGTTCTGACTACTTGGAAGGCTGAGGCAGGAGGATCGCCTGAGCCCAGCAGGTCAATGCTGGATTGGTCATGAGCCTGCCTCTGCACTCTGGCCTGGGTGACAGAGTGAGACTTCAACTCCAAAAAAAAAGAAAGGTGTGTGCAAAAATGGACCTGAAGGAGCTCTTGCATTTTGACAATGCACCATCTCAAAAAGCACTATCTGTGAGGAAGATTTTAGCCAGCAAATAACTATTGCAACACCACCCTCCCTACTCTCCTGATCTGCCCCCCACTGACTTTTTTCTTTACCCAAAGTTAAAGGAAATATCAAAAGAAAGACATTTTGGTGGCATTCAGGACATCAAGGGTAATATGACAACAGCTTTGATGGCCATTCCAGAAGAATTCAAAAACTGCTTTGACGGGTAAACTAGGCACTGGCATCAGTGCATAGCTTCCCAAGGGGAGTACTTCGAAGGTGACTGCAGTGAGATTCAGCAATGAGGTATGTAGCACTTTTTCTAGAACAAGTTTGCGAACTTAATTGTCAGACCTCATAAATCACCCATCATGAAATGGGCAAATGTATTGAAAGGATGTCCAAAAAAATATTCACTGAAGCTGAAAGCAGCCTCTCACAACAATGCTAGCTGGTATACTGATACTGATG